TTGATACCATTAATAATTTTACTATTAATTGATGCCTATTAAACCATTAATTGCCACCAATTAATTTATAATGAAAAAATGAAAAGAAATTATACTAATTGATACCATTAATAATTTTACTATTAATTGATGCCTATTAAACCATTAATTGCCACCAATTAAAATTTATAATGAAAATGAAAAAAAAAATTATACTAATTGATCCTATTAATAATTTTACTATTAATTGATGCTTATTAAACCATCAATTACCACAAATTAATTTATAATGAAAAAAAAAATTATACTAATTGATCCTATTAATAATTTTACTATTAATTGATGCTTATTAAACCATTAATTGCCACCAATTAATTTATAATGAAAAAATGAAAAAAAAAATTATACTAATTGATCCTATTAATAATTTTTTGTTAATTGATACTTATTAAACCATTAATTGCCACCAATTAATTTATAATGAAAATATGAAAAAAATTTATAGTAATTGATCCTATTAATAATTTTACTGTTAATTGATGCTTATTAAACCATTAATTGTCACTAATTAATTTATAATGAAAAAAAAAAAATTATACTAATTGATCCTATTAATAATTTTACTATTAATTGATGCTTATTAAATCATTAATTTCCACTAATTAATTTATAATGAAAAAATGAAAAAAATTTATACTAATTGATTTATAATGAAAAATTGGAAATAATAATTTATAATGAAAAAATGAAAATAACAATTTATGAGTTAATTATTTATATAATACTAATTATATTAACTTTTATTATTGAAATAATTTTTAAAAAAAATTAAAACCGAAAAAAATGACAAAATATGCATTTTTATATTATATAAAGGTAAAAAGGACAATTACACGTCAAAAAGTTATTTTATAGCTTCTCAACCAAACACTATTCTACCGTTTAAATTCATAATCGTACAGTCGCATCAAACAGGTTAATAACTTATGTTCACAACTATAAGTTATAATCTATAATCACTTTTCCACAACTCTATCAAACGGACCAAAGTATTATAACATGCTTTTAATATAAAAAATCATATTATTAAAAAAATAAAAATAAAAAAAATCTCCCAATTTGAACGCAATCAAAAACAGTCAGAAGCGTCACTTCTAAGGCCTTGTTTGAAAAAATTAAATAAGTCTACATTTTTTATTTTTTTTAAATCACATCAATTAATATTTCCTCTCTATTTTTCTACATATTATTTTATAAAAAATAAAAAAATTATACTTATTTAAAACATCTTAAATAATCCCTAACTAATGTGAAATTAGTCGGTACAGCGGCAGTACACAGCACCTACAACCACTCTATTTATTTGTCTTTATTAGTGTATCTGTAACGGCAGCACCACCGCCATGATGGGTTACGACGACAATTCGTTGTACGATCTGGAGTTCCGTTCGACGTTGGACGACGCTTGGTACAGCGTCCGAGTCGTACTCTCCGACGACGACACTCTCGTCGTCAAGTTCTGGAACTTCTCCGAATCCACCGACGAGAGCTTTGGAGTTGGCGATTTTAAGACGATCGAGGCCGTCGAGGAGTTCGTTCGGAGGTTTCGGCTTCCATCGCAGCAGTTGCAGGACAGCCAGTGCTCGAGACTCGTCGAAGGAATTGGTGTGTGTGCCTCTTTCACTTTCAGAGACGATGACATTCGCTTCTACGACGCCGTTGTCGAGGCGGTGAGTTTTGATTTCACGCCAGAGCTTTCTTTGTTTGGCTTCTGGTAAACAAAAAGCTGAAAATTTGTAGTAGTATGAACAGTTTCTTTTTTGAAAAATTACAAAAATAAATTTAAAATTTTAATTTCATTAATTTAAATTTAAATTTTTTTTATTTATTTTCAATCTAAATTAAACTAATGCCCAGAGCCTCTCTCTAAACGCAGAGCATCTCTCTGACGTTGGGTTTGATTGGAGATTTTGATAAGAGATTTAAAAAGAGGAAAAAAATTAAATAAAATGTGATTAAAATATATTTATATTTTATATAATTTTACACAATTTTTCTTTTTTTAAATACTTTTTAAATCTCTTAATCAAACGCAAACGGGTGTCCTCTAAACCTCTTCTGTAAGCCTTTCGCGTCCGGCCGCGGGCCTCCTCTCCCCCATTCACTCCATTTTTTTCCTTTTCTTTGTCTTTTTGCTTTATCATATTGGAAGTTTGTCTACCACACGGCTACCAGACCTACCACCTTTCCGCCTCCGTAGATCCACTCTCACTAAATCTGCCTCATCTCCTCCAGATCTGCCTCTGGCCATCGGCAATGTTTCAGATCTGATGTTTTACTTGCATCCAAACTTTCCTTCTCGCGCCCAAAATTATAAGATTTAGGTCAAGTTTGGCATCTACTAAATAATACAAAAAGTCAAAAAATTACTACTTTATTTAAATCACATCATCTTATTTAAATCACATCACCTTTCTAACACATCCAATCCAAACCCACCCCATATAAGTCACTAAGTTAAAAAATTCACTTTTTATAACGTCCCAAACCAAACTTAAATTTCAGATCTTCTCACACCAATGCTATTTAACGCGTTTGATTCACGTTAGGCGACGATCTCAATGTTTTCATATTTTAAGTTGAAGGTTACGGTAATGGAGTTTTGGATACATTTAGCACCTTAGATCTGGTTATTTTCAGTTTTTTCTTTTTTAATTTTTTTTTTGTATTTGTGGTAATATTCCTCTCTTGTGGAGGTTGTGTTCCTTCTTTGTGAGGTTTTCTCCTCCTATGTGGAGGTCAGGATTCTTTCTCTTATGAAAGTTTATTATCTATGGGATCTTTAGTTACTGTTGTATGAGATTGATTCGATTTTTTATTGATTTTGTAAAAAAAAAAATTTCTTCTTGATCTAAAAAAAAATAATTAAATTATTTATTTATTTTTTGTTAATAGGAAAATTGTTTGGAAAATAGTAATTTAGCCATTAAACTATGATAAATTTTAATATACACCCCTTTAAAAGGGATGGACCATATGCACCTAGATATGGCATTTTCTTATCAATTTTTTTTAGTTATACCTTATATTGGCCTCGTTTGGGAAGTGGCTATTTTAGTAGACTATTTAGCTTTTTGGCTATTTTAGTAGACTATTTTAGTTTTTGTGTTTGGAAAGATGAAATGAATTTTTAGTTGAGTTGTTGTATTGAAAAGTGTGTTGAAATGATGTTTGAATTTAAAATGACAAATTTATTCCTAAATTATATATTTTTAATTGGATGTAAAGGGGCAAAATGGTAATTTAACCCTTGATGTAACAATTTTCGGCTGTGACAATGTAGCCTACACTGTCCGGCTGCAGCCTATATTTTTTTTATTTTTTTATTTTTTTAAGAAACCTGTGAACAATATTGACTTTTGGGCTGATTTTGCATTTTAGGCTATAATAGCCTTAACTCACCCTCCCCAAACAGTGCCAGTTATGACATTTTTATTTTTAGTTTTTATAATAATAACTCAGGAAATTGAAGTATGTCATTTTTCTTTAATCATAAGGGGCATATATCATAGTGTTTCCTTAAACTATACATAAATGGCTAAAATATGCTTTTTGGTAGACTTTAATGATTAAAATATTATTTTTCCTGTCAATTTTAATTAACGAAAATAAGTAGATGATTTAGATGGAGAATAAAAAAAAAGAAAAAGGGTTTAATTAACAAAATTAAAGATTTTATTTTGTTACAAGGGTATATTATTATTATTATTATTTGTAATTTGTTTATTTTTTTAGTCCAAAGTTTAACAATAACTAAAGAAGAGTATAGAAAAACAAAATGACATTCATTAGAGCATCTCCAATGGTTGTTGCTATATTGTCATTGCTATTGTTATAATTTGGCAAAATAATTTGGCAATGAATAATGTTATTTTGCCAAATTATAACAATGGTGCTCCAATGGTCATTTGCTATTTTGGCAAATTCCAACCAACTTTACCTCCAAATTTGTAGTGTTGTTTGGATATAAATTTTTTTTGTGATTTTTTTTTTGTTTTTTGTTTTTGTCTTTTGTGACTTTTTTTTAACTGTTTGTAAAAAAAAATTATATATTTATATTATTCCCGACTAGACAAATATAAAAAATAAAAAAAAATTGAAAAATTGGAAAAATAAATAAATAAATATATTTTATCTTTTTATTGCCTTCATTTGAAAAAATATATTTATTTTCTCATTATACTTTATTGAAATAATTAAATTATACTAAACTATTTTGCTACATTATACATTGCAAAAATAATATTACATTCTTTTGTAGAAAATACTCAAAAATAAAAACAAATATGAAATTTCATTACAAAATAAAAATATGAGGATTACTTGGCGAAAATTTCATTACATTATTCCGTAATTATTCATTAGGAGGCAGGGGGAAATAGTAATGCTAACATTTGAAAACCATTTGGCGAAAATCTCATTTTTTCGCATTGTGTAAGATGCTTTCGTCTGAGGGTCCAAATGAGAAATGTCCGTAATCATTATCATATGTTCTTCCTTTTTCATCTCAGGTTCTTGTCTTCTGATCTCAAAGTCATGTTTTTTCATTTCCTGCAGTGCTTGAATCCCTTTTTCTTCTCTTTCATCTTTTTTCTTTTCCTTCTAAGTAAGGCATTGGTTAAATGTGTCCAATTGTGTGCTCATTTTTTGAACTTCAACTTGAACGACTTGATTTTTCGAAATAATTCTTTTGTAACTTTCCTACCCATAGGCCTTTTACCTTTTGCAGAGACACTGCTCTCACCAACAGTTGGATTGTTACCAACACTTGGACTGGTGTCATCTTCAAGAGAAATGCAGTTATCCATAAGGGAATCGGGGGTTAAATTAGGGGAAAACAGTGTATGCATTCTTGACTTCACCATGTTCGTAGGAGTTACATCTTGCTACCTGATATTGTTTTGCAAGATTGGCCAACACTGTTCAAAAAGAAAATGTTTGTTTTTATTTTGATGGTATAACAGTTTTGCTTGAAGCATCTATATCAATAAAATATTAAATTAATTAATTAGTTAATTTTATGTAAGACAAAATAAAAAAACTAACATAATAAATGGAAATGAAATCTTACTATATTAACTTGTGACGTCCCACTTGGATGTAGATTTTCGACTTACGCTAGACACCCACGAAATTTGTTGCAACATTTTATGATTACACCCCATCAAGATGAGATAGACACTTGTGTTCTTGAGTGGTCATTCTGCAGCGAGCAATAATTTTCAAAAATTCTTTCCCAAAAATGAGCATGCGATTGTGAATTTCCAACAATTAGATCTTCAGTAATGTGACACCAAGCTCTACAAATTGCCACATCTTCTTTAGTAGTGAATGATTTTCCTCTTTTTGTTTTTGATGAACCTTTCATAATGATTGGCCGAAAAAACTAAAAACAAAATATTTTCGAAAGTAATTTTGAAAGTTGGTTCTCAAATACAATTGAAATAAAGAGAGGAGAAAAGAAATGTGTTGTGAATGAAATTGAGATCGAGGTTTCTATTTATAGAAATGTAAAATATGACGGTTTGGAAAAAAAACATGACCGTTAATTTATAATTGATTTTTTTTTTTGAATTTTTTTCCAGGCCAAAAGAGCACAACAGCTCTTTTGCATTCCCAAGATAATTCACCACTGTCCACGTAGAGGATTTCCAACGGATGAGATCCATATCCAAAATGATCCAACCCTCTCCATCTCACTTCGACTCTGTCTCCCTCTCCCTCTCACTTCTCTGTATAATCATCTTCCTCTCTTCATCATCCAGAATGATCCAACCCTCTCCATCTCACTTCGACTCTGTATCCCTCTCTCCCTGACTCTCACTTCTACCCCCCACCGCTCTTTTGATCTCACTCATCTCTCTCTCTCTCACTCATAGAACCCAGATCTTTGTAGTTGTCTCACTTCTACCCTCTCAATCGATCATCCATGTCTCCAAATCTCACAAACCCACCTCAATCGATCATCCATGCCTCCAAGTCTCACAAACCCACCTCCAATCTGACAAACCCACCTCCTTCATCATCCATGTCTCCAAATCTCACAAACCCACTTCCATCTCCCATGGACATGGAAGACCATCCGTCGAAGACCATCCACCTCCTTCATCTCCTGCGATGGTATCGATCCCTCTAACTGTCACTGTTACTGTTACCCTCTTCTCTCTTTCTTCGATCGGCAATGAAGAAGATTGAAACCCTCTGTTTCTCTCACTCACTCCTCTCTGTCTGACTCCTACAATGGATCGGTGATGGAGAAGATTGAAACCCTAATGATGAACACAAACAAGATCATCCAATTAATTGATCATCCCTCTCTGTCAGGTAATTTTTTTTCCTCACTGTCATCTAATTTTTTTTTGAATTTTCTGTGAAATTGATGGTGAAATTGTTGGTGATTTTAATTAATTGATTTTAATTAATTTTCGGTGTGAATTTGGAAATTGCTTCAAATTGCTGTGTTAATTAATTTGGAAACTGTGTTCGGAAAGGATGATGAAAAAGGGAGGGAGGGAAGGAGGACGTTGGTTGAAGCTGATGACTAGTTGCCAAAGCTTGTGCCATATTTGACACAAGCTTTGGCATTTGCCAAAGATAGTAGTTGCTATAAGTTGCCATTGGAGCTACCTTTCTATCCATTGCTGCCATAATTTGGCAATAGCAGCTCCATTGGCACACCATTGGAGATGCTCTTAGAGTACCATTGCTAAATTATAGCATTCTGGGACTCTTCATTGCAAAAATTTAAAATTGGACTTTAGCTAGTCATTTTAGCGATGCACATTCAATCTTCCCAAATGTGGAGAGTTTGGGAGAGAAAAGAAACCAATATTTTCATAATACCAATTTTGTCCCTGTAAAAATAAAAGAAATAAAATGATTGAAAATATAAAAAGGTTATTTTGGTAAATATAATATAAAATAATTTCTTTTCTTTTCTCTTATGAAATCTAACCAAACAATAAGGAGAGAGATCACAATCATTTCTTTTATTTTATTTCTTACTTATCCAAACAAAAAAGAGAAAATTACAATCATTTCTTTTCTTTTCTTTTCTTTTATAACTTAAGTAATCCTTTATTTTATTTTCTCTCCTAGATTCCCAAACATAGCGTAAGATCACTTGTTCAATTAGTTTTTCTTTACTCTGTTTAAATTTTATTTGGGAAAGTGAGACTGTCAAAAAAATAATTTTTAAATTTTGGGAGACTCTTTCCAGTTTGCACTAGTCTCCCTATCCTGGGGAGCCATAGGGAATCTATGGGAGTTTGATTTTGTATAATCGACTTTATTATTTATTTTTGATAATTCGGTATCTAGTCCCAATGGACCAATTAATCCGGGACCAATTCCACCGTCCTCTAGCGGGGAGTCATTTAAAGCCAGAGTAAAGCCCTTTATGAACTAATCCCAAGAAGTTGTTTGCACTTAGGAGGAGGTTTTGAACCTAAATCATGGAGGAAGCACGCCCAGGTCCCAAGCCTTGACCACTAGGCCATGGCCAACCCTGTGAGGTTATGCTCTCTATTTTAACTAAACAATAGAGATTTGAAAATCTGTTGGGTTGATCTTAAAATTTTTGTAGAAGGTGTAGCAGTTGCTAACTATATTCAAAGCTGAGTTTTTTTTAATTTTATTTTATGTTTTCTCTTTAAATTTATTTTTGGATTTGATAGGTGCACCATGTGGAGCATTCATTTGCAAAAGAAGAGGAGGAATGCTTGTGCACCTTTCTGCTATTCTGGCAACATGGGCCAAATGAGGGTAATGTAACAGCTTCCGGTATTGCAAACATGTGCCTAATCCAACCTTTTGAACAAATGGATTCTAGGGTGGTCACTTTCTCAAAGATGGCAAAGGAGAAAGTCGAGATTGCTCGCCCTACACCTGGTTCAGCTTCTGATGGTAAAACTTCATTGGGTAAGAGTGCTACGTTTGACAAAGAAGATAGAAATTTGTCAACTGTCCAAGAGTCTACTTTATCTCAACGTGGGCTCCAGGCAAGTTGCATGATGTTCTGAGTTTTTCTTTGTTAGCATAAAAGCGCCTTTAATTACCCTTTTAAGTGTGACAATTTGGAATTTGCTTTGGTGTTTTTGTCATATCCGAACTCACATCTACTTGTTTTTCTGGTAAAGGAGGGTGTTAAGCAGTTTGGTAGCTTAGCACATACAAAAGAAGGTTTGTTCATTTGTTAACATACTAAATCATCACAAAGTTTCATTGTCCTTTCTTGCCAACTTTTTATTTATTTATTTTTCTTCTGAGACAGGGAGGATTAACAAATTTCATGAGAGGAACCATCAAGATATAGATTTTGGAGGGGGATCTTATATGGGAGAATTTGGCAGTCATCATTTCATGTTAATTGAGAATTTGGAGAAAGATTTGTCTCCATCATCAATTATGGAATTCATACATAAACAAACATCTATCTCACCACAAGCATATGTTTTTCCAAGTTTATCATCAGAAACATATACAAGGGGCGTCATTGTATTGGATTGCAAGAAGAAGCTTAAGAAGATATATGAATTTTTAAATAATCCAGATCAAATTGTTATGTCATCAAGGGGAAGGTATGCCTTAAAATATTTGTGGCTTAAGGGTTGTTGCCATAGTCGTGTCCAAAATTTCCATATTCTCTGTCCTACGATTATTTTTTTGTTGTTTATTTATATGTTATGTGAAATTCATGCAGCTTAAAGGCTTATCCAATGACCGATTAATGTTGATTTATTTGTTCATTTTCTGCAGGCCTTGGGTCATAACAGAAACTACTTCAAGGCGTGGAACCTTTAGGACTACTTTTGGGAGTCTAATACCAACATCTCAGGTAAGTTTTGTATTATTGTATAAACTTTAGGACTAGACTTGGGAATCTAATACCAACATCTCAGGTAAGTTTTGTATTACTAATGGGATACTGGCGAATGGGTTGCACTATGAGGAGAAAGTGTTCATATCCCTTGCAAAAAATGATATCAACCATTCCTATGGTAGGGTCTTATAATGGGTAAGATCTAAAATTTATAATAAAAACTCATTGATTTGATGGTTTTGACAAATTGTTTGACTTCTAACCTTTGGTTGGAGGATTTGAGGAGGGATTTGGAAACGGCAAAAGGAAAAGATGTGTGAAACTAAATGAAATGTAAGTATATTTTATTCACATTTCACCCACCTTTTCTCTTTCCTTTCCAAATCCCCCAACCAAACACACCTTTATGCTCCACTTAGGGTCTGAAACTAAAAAAATGTTTAAAATCTTGCTTTGATGCTTTTGATTCCTTGATCTCCAATGCATATTTATGTGAGTGTATATCTTTAGGAGAGTGGAAGCAGACAGTATTTTTTTCCTACCCATCTGGTTTCTTCAAGAAACTTTTTTTGTAAATATCTGCTAATTTCATCCCTTTACCCATTAGTGTTCCTATGTTTCCAAGTTCCAACTGTATTCTATTCTCTTGGACTAGCTTCTTCACCCCTGCTCATCCATTAAAATGCGAAAATCCTTGCCTATTTCGCATCACACCCGGCATCGATGTGGCACGTTCCGTTGCTTGGAGGGAACACCCTAGTCAACCCTTCTCGACTTATCACTACACCAGGGCTCCAATACACTACATTGAAAATAAGTAATGCCCCAACAAAAGAATTTTTAGGATTTGTATTCATAAAGGTGTGACTATAAGTTTTACATTGGTTACTAATTGGACACAACCCTCCTTGTTTATCTAGTCTTGTGACCAGCTTTGTCAAAAAAAGACACAGGATTGAATTATAAAAATATAGTAACAAAATAGAATGAGAAGAATAATATCTCAAACAAGGTTTTGGGGCATTTGCAATGGGGGTGTCACTAACTTATAGAAATTTTCCTTTTCATTTCAATTCTGCTACAGACATAGAAGCCGTTTATAAAATACACAAATGGATAACATTTTATAGGATTTGTTAGTGGGGTTCACTTTGAAAAATCTTATCCGTCGATATAAATTTTGTCCGGTTTTGTGTCCGTAGACTTATTCTTTTCGTTTAGTATCAATTTTTGACGTTATTGGAAATTGATCTTCTGCAATTACATTTTACCGTGTAAATTTCAGAACAGAAGCATTGATGGTGAATTGAAGGTTGTCTGTAGAGGGGCTAAAGAATTCATGATAGCTCAACGTCTGAGGGACTTACTCAAAGAATTTGTGGAACACCAACAGCGACTTCACAAGAGGTTAACTTTGGAGGAGAAAAAGATCTTGCAGCCCGCTGTTTAGCTACAAGCAACTTCTCAGGCTCATGGCAAATGTGTTAATACATTAAGGTAAGGTAATCATTCAATTTTCTATTTTATTTTTCCTGTTACCAATAGGAGAATTTATTTATTGATGGCACTAGTGCGATAAATCCGGGGATGAGACATGGTAACAAGTGTTCCTATGTTGTACATTTGTAGATTCTTCTAGGAGATCCCTATTCTTCTCGAGGTTGGGTTCACTTTGTGTTGAAATTTTGAAAGTTCTGGTGGCTATGTAAAGAAATTGATTGATGCTGCTGTTTTTTAGATTCACAACCCAGATTTCTCCTCATCAGTCCTTAGTATATATTATCAGTATATATCACCATTAATGCCTATGTTTTCCTCTTATAGGTTGATCAACTTCTTTGTTCCAAGGACTTCATGTCTCTGATTTATAAAAGTTTGCTTTCAGCCAGCAACAGAGCTGCACTAGTGAACCAGTTTCTTCTTGTGCTGTTTCAGGCAACAAAAGTCTCCATCTCATCATAGCCATTTTGTACATTGACAAACTACCATTTCAGAAATGTTTATGTTTATGTACCCAGATTCAAATGTGTGAATCAGATTCATTCTAAATGAGTTTTGAATAGTTTTCTTAAGTATTTTTTGTAGGCACGTAGCAATGCTACTATTTTTTGTAGAAATGTTGTTAACCTTAGATGCCTATACCTACACCTTTTGTATAGTGCTTTCAGGCCATGTTTGATTCACAACACTAATAGTGAGGTATTAATAATCCTATCAAATTAGTGTGGTATTAACGATCTCACCCCTACCCCATTACTAATAATCCTACAAATTTGTTGGATTAATTATCCATTGGATTAATAATCCTAAACCAAAGTGTCAAAACAAACATAGGATGATTGGGCCCACGGATTAATAATCCTAATCCCATGCTTTAATCCTTCCAATCAAACATACTCTCAGTGTTGTTGCAGCTTATATATATGGCATGAGGATTGAGGGTTTTTGTATGTATAATATATTGTTTGTGTCAAGATCCACCTTGTCTGTAAATACAAGCACCTGGTTTTCAGCCTTTCTTTGAGACTGCATTGTCTCTGAGCTGTTCAAGGGCATAATTGTGACTTTTTTGGTGGTTCAATGTGCCAATTTATGTACCTTAAAAATAAATTATCCTAACATTTCTTCAAAGATGTATGGTCACGTTCCTTCGGTTACATATGTTGCTACTATTTTCTTTCCCTTCCCTTTCCAGCTGATGGGCGATCTTTAAATAAAAATTTAATAATTAAAATAGAAATGCAAGTATTTGTGCCTTTAAGTCCGTTTCAAACTATAATTTGTTCAATTCAGGAAGCATAATATTAATTTTTAGGCTTGTGGATGAAAAAATTTATGCGTCTAATGATTTTAGACCCCTTTGAATGGTCAGTTGAGCAACGGGAATGGGCATCTGTTTGTACCAAAAATAATAACCAAGTGTGGAGGGTTAATAATCGCGTGATGCCACGTCGAACTGACACAGAGACTTTTTACCTAGTCAGAATTTTGATATTCATTAAGCCCTTGTAACAAATTAAAAAGACCTTGCAGCAAAGTATAATCCCCATTGTGCCATGACATGAATTTAGTCATAACTCATTTCTGTTCATGGTTTTGGGGCATAGGCTATCTCATCAGCGTGATCAACCAAATAAAGCTTGCAAGTATAGAAAGGGGAAGGGACAGTGGCAAACAGATTACATAATAGGTAATACAATCAAATATTTCATCGACACATACAAAGGATTGACGAAGCAAAACCAAGAAAATGACACCCACAATCAAACAAGAAGCACAATTATCATCAAGTTTAAATCATATCGAAACATATTCCAGCATGATCCATCACAGCTCCACTACAGCTCCAGTCTACTGGAAGAATATATGGTGGGGGCAGGGCATTGATGAAGAATGCTTTGCTGTCAAAGCCCCTCTCACCAGCTCAAGAGCTTCAAGCTTCCGCATAGGTAGATTGCATGCAGCAAAACCATTTTTTCTGCAAAGAACGCAGTCGTAATGTCAAAAGAGAGCAAATATATCAGGTAAAAAGTGTAGTCCCATCAAACTACCCCAAAATAGTCTTGGTAAGCAAACTCACAGAGGCAGTGCAACGGTGGTTCTGGTAATTGAAAGGGTATCTTGCTAATTATTACCATTCAGTACCCTCAAAAGTTGATATATTTATTGTCCCTATGCAGCTCGCAGAAGTGGCAATCATCCCAACTAGTTTAATATTTGGGCTATCGCAAACCTAAGTATTCTTTAAAATGACTTGGAGTCCCACATAACTCAGCCATCTGAACATTGAAAATTTCAACATTCAGGCGCTACCAAGTATGCAATTTAACAAGATATGTCCAAAATTGATGTGAAAGTGAGAGGTGTTGTGCTTCATGCTTATTATAGAGTACAAAGAAATTTTGAAACAGAAATGCTAGAGACCCAAATTTTAAGTCCCACAATTCACCAACAATGACACAGCAAGGGAGTTTTTCTTTTTTTCTTTTTAGAATGTCATAGCAAGGGAGTTGAGCCTTATATAATTGAGTCAAAAGTTGACACATAACGTGTCATGTCATTAAATTGTGGGTCTCAATCTTTTTCCAATATTTATAGGATAAAATTTAGCTCACAATTCTCAGAGGTGAAAATGGCCAAGGGTAGGACCTTGAGAAACAAACAGACTCTCGATCATTGCATTACTAAAAAGCAAAACAGGGCAATCACTTTTTTCCAATAGATGATAGTATCATGATCGATATTCTCTAATGTAACATCATGTTCATTAAACCAAAATATTAGCTTAACTACTAAGACTTCATTCTAAGTATTACAGGTTAACTATAAGAATATTTTCACCATACAACTCATCTGAGGCCATATCTTCTATTCCCCAGTATCTGCTCACAAGTTATCGTACTCATTAAGTAAAGCTTCAATTGCTAGCTTTCTTAAAGAAACCCTTCTAAAAATAGGGAAAGAAAACAGATATATGGATAACATTCAAGTTTCAAAGCAAACCAAAGCGGGCAAGTAAGACTAAGGAAGAAGTAAAGCCAGCCAAAACTTACAGACTGAGGCTTTCCAAGAGTTGCCCCATGCTTAAATGCAGTTTCCTCCTTTGTTGGTGATTCGGGCTTGCCTCCTGTCTTTTTCTCATTCCTAGCCTTGTTGAAAATTACTGTGAATCCCTCAGCTGACGCTGGGTCATTGACATCCCATTCACCAAACTTGGGCAATGGTCCACCTTTTTCCTGTGGAATTGAAGATTTTACTTTTTTGTAGTTGTCTCAAGACAGAAAAAAGCCACAAATAAAAACATTCATATATTATTAAATGCATAATCCTTCGAACAAGAAACCAATAGTCTCAGAGATTACACAAGCTTGGTGTATGATCAAATATGACTTGTGAACAGCTACAGGGAAACATGATACAATAAAGACTACATATTGGATATGGATGGATAACATTACGAATCACCTCAAAGGCAGCAATTTCACATAACAAAAAAGAAGGCAATACAATTAATTTAAGCGGCTAAGACACTGTAGCACTTCAAAAATAGTCCACAAATCCCAATAAGCAAACTTACAATCACAAAGCACAGTTGGCATAAAGAACATTATTTGTGTGATAAAAAATCAATTGACAGGAAAGGTACAACATCTGTCTTAGAAGGAAAAATTCAAAACTATTCTCGATACCAGGGTCACCAATTCTGGCAAAATATTTCAACCATGATTAACTTCATAATCAAACAAAAATGTTCAAGCACAGTGAAACTGTGGGAAATGGTCCATATACAACATCTAAACAGAACAGTGAGTGCAAAAACTGAATTCAAACGGGAAAATCACTTTGATCCATCAGTCCGATAAAAGGCACATATAGAAAACAGTTCCGTACCATGCTCTGGCAGAAAGATTTTGTGCACGCATACATATATAAGGGTTTCTCTCTGGCTATTTAGCTGTCAACAAATATCAGATTAGAAAACCTTTTCATTATATACTTGGAAGTGACATAATTTGTTGGTCATCCATAATATTTGTATAACAGAAGTGCCACTTTCAACCATATGAGTAGTGGAACACAATCTGAAAGAAACAGAGAAAATAGAAAGGAAAAGAAAAAGGGCAGATGCTACTGACCCCTTTCAAATAAATCTCAACCTCTCTCTCTCTCTCTCTCTCTCTTCTGTATGTTTATTTGTTGCCGTGATCTATAAGAAACAACAGCAATTGACTGCATCTTGTGGTAATGCCAGTTTCTTAAGTTCCACCAACATGCTGAGAGGTTTTTCATGTGATTTCTAACTCTTTTTTTTTTTTTTTTTTTAGAAGCAACAAAAGATATATATTAATAAGGAAAAACAGTAACATAGGGAGGCCAAGATGTCCTCAAACAGAAATGAAAACAACAAAATAACAGAGCAAATAAATAGACATCCCTAAGACTAAGACCGACAAATGGTATTTTTTTTTTTGAGAAGCAACAAAAGATATATATTAAAAACCCTAAACCCTATTTCTAACTCAATCATCCAAGACTCCTAATCCATTTTGAGTTCTGTTGGATACTCATGGGTCTAGTTGTAAAGACATAACTTAGTAAACAACAATTTGGCAACATCGGCTGATAGTTACTCTATTTTATTACACTTCATATAAATATTTACCTAAAAAACAAAAACACAAATCCATTTTCAACAGAGTGAGCCGAAATTCCACAAAGCACACAAGATGACATGAGACAAATTAGATGAGATATCAATTAGCAAAGTTTAAAATGCACCAAAAAAAAAAAGGGGGCTCTTATATGACGTAAAACTATACGACACGTAACCTCTGCAGAGGTGACCCTGCTTCATAATAGTTAGAAGCAAAAAATTGAACGCTAGCCTCTTGGGCCAGCTTTCTTAGACAGCCTCCATGAAATGGGCTACAGCTCTTAGGTAAATATAATCCTCAATGGGTATATGAAACCCACACATTCATAACTAAAAGCACAGTACTTTTACCCATGTGAAATTAAAATGCCAAAAAATAAAAAAATTATACATTACAAATGAAATTAGCATTGTTGCATATGAAATGTACCAAAAAGAGAGTCACGATGAATAAAACCATTCTTTATAAAACTACGAGAGCCCCTAAAGCGAGAGACATGAGAAAATATCTGCAAAATCCCACAGCCAAAAAATCCAAAATCCACACTTGAAAAAGACAACAAAAACATCATCAGACAATGAATTTTAATTACCAAATTAAGTTCAATCTCTCATCGCTATCATTTTTCGTTATTCCACACTGTCAATAGCACAATACTCAGTTAAACCCTAATTAAATAAATTCATATCTTTTTTCAAAATCGCATTTTTCGTGTCCCCTAATATTTTCTAATACACCTGCGCATATGTGAATAACGATCATAGATAGAGCTAATCACAAAAACCAACCAAAAAGAAGCAAGAAACTCATATGAACCTCAAATCAAATCGAATTGAAAGAAATCTACTATTCCAAAATAAAAAATGGATACAGAACACACACACACACACATATGTATATATATATGTAAAAGTGATTCATTTCGTTTTCGTACCGCCATGTCTTCTCGCAGAGAAAAAAGCGAGTTCAAAAATTGAATTGTGTGCCTCTTCGTTTGTCTTCTTCTTCTTCTAACTCAACAGAAGAGTCGATAGATAGATTCCATAGACAGCTGGATCGAGAGAGAGGTGGGGCTTGACACCAGGTACGCCATGTGAGAGAGAAGAGGAAAGTGGGACCGATCACGATGATCGAACGGCCATCATCATCAACCATAAATGAAGTAGAAATCTCCTGCACTCGGATTCACCTAAGGAGCCTGAGGAGCCCTAAGGTCAACCAACCCACAAGACGTGCTTATATATATAGATTGACCTAATTTGTTAAAGTGTCTACACAAAATTATCGTATATTTGGTTAATTAATTATAAGGCACATTCACTTTTATTTACATTGCATTTTTTTTGTTCTTTAAGTTATTAATTATTTAGTATATTGATTTATGAAAATAATTTTGAATAATTTATGTTGAGATTTAGAAATAATAATTTTTTTTGTTTGTTGAAATTATGAAAAAAAATTATATATAGTTGTATATTTGTACGGAGACAAAATATTCGTCGCTCTCAGTACTCCTCGTGTCCAAGCTCCACGCTGCTCCGAACAACGTCGTTTAACTTGAGAATAAAGCGACGGTGACCTGCCTAGCGGGTGTGATGCAAAAAAACTCCTCCGACGATCAAGTTAGCACCCTTAGAGAGATAAAGAGAGAGAGAAGACAAAAGAGAGATAGAGCTCTGGGTCGTCAGAAGTTCAGACCTGTGTGTGGAGGCACCGCTCAGTCTATATAGCCTTCACGCACTACTCTACTCGTCATTTCCTAGACGCGTGGCTGTATTGTTCTCTCTATTATTTACACGTGTACTCGTCAATATTGCCAAACAAAATTGGCCAATCTGCCAAACGGTATTGACGCATACCGTTGGCGGGCTTCTTTTCTCGCACTCCAATTGGACCACTTGGCAATTTCCACCGAGTTAGGTATAGCCCGGTCAATTCCAGCCCCAATTCTGGCCGACCTTCAAGGTCAAGCTTAATAACTAACTTGGTTTGCCTAACTCCGTTCGTTCTCACTGACCTTGCTCGGCCTTGGACCATTGCTTTACCTAGCCCGGCTTAGCTCGATCCAACTTCCGGACCTTGGGCTAACTCAGTCGCATGATTTATAGCCTTAGCCAACTGCCCTCGGCTATGCTAACTCGGTCACGTAATCCAACGGCAAGGCCCAAGTCATAATTAGCTCGCCCCATTTGCTTGGCGCAAACTCCACTCTCAATGTTCATTGAAGTTTATTTCGAAGGATATATTTTTCTATCATCTAATTTTAACACATTCTCAATCTTTAAATCATGTGAAAATTTAAAGACATATGAATCTCAAGACATAATTTAATGATTAAAGTATATTGAGACATAGATATGAAGATAGAGGATTATGTGCTTTCTTTTCCATTATTTATTTCTAACCCTCCCAATTTGTTAGTTTGATCTCACCAAAATATACAACTGGGAGTCGCCAATTTTGAAGATGGGCACTTGGATGTAGGGCTACGAATGAATAGAATCGTTTGTGGATAGACTCGAACTCGGCTCGTTAATTTTTTTTTGTGTTCGAGCTTGAGCTCGAGCTCTTTAAATTTTTAATAAATAAGCCTAAATATTCTAAAACTCGGCTCGTTAGCTGACTCGTTTAATATTTGTTATTTATATACTAAATAATGTAAAAATATGTATAAAAAATAAAATCAATATGTTATTTACATATTCAAAAAATATAAATGTAAATAATAGTTAACTATATATAGTACATTTATATAATAATTGTAGTAGATATTATTATTTTGATAAAATATTGACTTTTTTTTAAAAAATATTTATATATATTGTATATATAATTATATAATTAAAATTTTAATTGTAACTTTAGTCTCATATACAAATATAAATTTTTAAATTTTTTGACTCGTTAAGACTAGAGAATAGGCTCGACTCGAACTCGAGTCAAGTTTAAACCAACTCGGCTCGAGTTCAATTCGTTAAATTTTTATTAAGTTTGAGTTCATTAAAACCTTAATAAACAAACCCAAACATACTAAACCTCAGCTTGACTCAGCTCATTTACAACCCTTGATGGGTTGAAAAATTCTCATCCGATGCTCAACTTGAAAGGATACATACTATTTTAAATTTATTGACAAGTATCCATCCAAATTACTATTGTTTCTACATAGGAGAAAAAGATCACACAAATTCAAGAAAATAAAAAGGTTATGATTATACTTAATTTTTTTTTTATAAATGGTGTACACAAATTTTTTTATATAATAAACTGTTTAAATCGTTAAAACGAGAAGTCTCACATGTTCGTCAAATTCTTTAGTTTAGATTTAAAAACTCAAACCATAATTAAGAGATAATTCTTTTTTTCCTTTTAGGTTGTGTTTTTTTATGCTCATCTATCTATCTATCTATACTATATATATAATCAAATGTAGTGGTTTTGTCAAAAATCTGTAAATATTCATTCTTAAATTCTCATAATTTTAAAAAACGATAACGTCAAACTCCCAAGGTTCTAACTTAAAATCTTCAACAATTTAAGGGAAGTAAAAAGAAATGTGTGTGGGTTGTGATGATCTTAACATGTTTTCAGGCATTTACATTTTGGATGATTTAAACTGTTTTGATGACTAAGAATCATATTTCAATGATTTAAATCTTCACAATTCGAATTTTTGATCGACGAGACTATCATCAACGACAAGAACATGAACTTCATGAGAATTGGAAGGCGATACGTCGACGTCGTCAAAGCTTTCTCTGATCATCTCCGACGATCTCTTCCACTGCGAAACCTATGCGCCATTCAAAGAAAATTCTCTGCAACTGAGAGTGATTTAGGTATATTCACAGTTTTGGTTGAAATCACGAGAGCTTCGAACGAATCCAATCCAAACCCTAGGAATGGAAGAGAGAAGGAAAAAAGAGAATTTGTTTGTGCGTTTGCTTGGTTAAGGCTTCGATCATGTTCCACCGCCTTGAGGAAGACATCGGCGATGGTGTATGAACCGCCGGAGAGTGATCGAAAAACTGAATCGGTGTAGGAGGAGATCGAAGAATGTTGAGAATCATAACAAAGAGCTCGTAAAAGAGCAAAGAAGGTGGGGAGAGAGTGGGTAAAGAAGGTGAGGAAATTTAGTTGAGGGTATAATAGTCTAATAAAATATTTAAATAATAAATTTTGTCCTTTATGCAAAATTTTATAATTATGAGGAGGTTTAGAAAATATAATTTTTTTCTTAGTCCCTTTAACAATGAAAGGAAGGTAAAGGGGGTTTATAGCTAAATTTCCCTTGTATATATAATTATATAATCAAAATTTTAATTGCAACTTTAGTCTCATATGCAAATATAAATTTATAAATTTTTTGACTCGTTAAGGCTAGTGAATAGGCTCGACTCGAACTCGAGTCAAGCTTAAACCAACTCGGCTCGAGTTCAGTTCGTTAAATTTTTATTGACTTTGAGTTTGAGTTCGTTAAAACCTTAATAAACAAACCCAAACATACTAAAGCTCAACTCGACTCAGCTCATTTACAACCCTTGATGGGTTGAAAAATTCTCGTCCGATGCTCAAGTTGAAAGGATACATAACTATTTTAAATTTATTGACAAGTATCCATCCAAATTACTGTTGTTTCTACATAGGAGAAAAAGATTACACAAATTCAAGAAAATAAAAAGGTTATGATTACACTTAATTTTTATTTTTATTAATGGTGTACACAAATTTTTTTATACAATAAACGATTTAAATCGTTAAAACGAGAAGTCTCACATGTTCGTCAAATTATTTAGTTTAGATTTAAAAACTCAAACCATACTTAGGATTGGTTTGGGAAGTGGGTTGGCTTTTTAACTTTTTTTAGCTATTTTAACCTAGGCTAAAAAGCTTGGTTTGAGAAGGACTTTTCGGCTTTTTGATTTTTTTGACTTTTTTTGTGAGAGAAGAGTGTAATGATTATGGATTGGATGTAATGTTTTATTTTTTGTGGCTAAAATAGCCAAAAAAAACCTCAACCAAGGCTTCCCAAACGAAGCCTTAAGGGATAATTCTTTTTTTCTTTTTAGGTTGTGTTTTTTTATGCTCATAGAAACATTATAAATATGGTTGATGTCAGCATTAGGTGAATCTATAGCTACTCCCCAGCAAGACTCCAATGGCTTTTTAAATTTTTATACAAAAAAAAGTCACAAAAAATTACAAAAAAAGTCACCAAAAAGTCAAAAAATAAAAAAATCAACTTTTTACCAACTTTTCAAAACACCACTTTTAGGTACAAACTTTGCAACCCAACTTTCAATAAATACGGTTGATTATACAATTCAAATGCTTCTACATGGGAGAAGAGGATCACACAACTTTTAATCCAAGGTACGTATACAATTCAAATCCTTCTACTAGTTTGATTAATAAAGCCTTTTGTACAAAAATTAATCAAAAAATAAAATAAAAGGGAAACAAATTGCTTCTGATCATCCACACACGCATCTCTGTTATTAATAATTGGGTTTTGGTGAGAATTGCTCAATAAACAGAAACACAGTGACTTTGAAGAGCCCATTAATGTGTATCTCTGTTATTAATAATTGGGTTTTGGTGAGAATTGCTCAATAAACAGAACCACAGTGACTTTGAAGAGCCCATTAATCAGGTCAAGCCGAGTAATAATTTATTCAAATATGACTTATATACCGTAACGAGTTGCAGATCGAATCCCCAAACACTGATCCTAGTCCCATGTTTTGTTCTGTTATGTGTACTCCAATCCAGCCTCAGGAGGAGCCAGGGAGTTCAAGCCAACATTTTTTGCAACACAAGACACTCTTAATAAACCTGTTTGAATCTCAAATTTGTGACGGTAAAAAACAAGAACAAAAAATATGCAAAAAGAAAATTAGCTTATAATTTCATTCACATTCTGTTTCACAAATCTTTACCCAATTTTAAGATTCAAGCATAGCCTAAGGCATGCAGGAAAGCCGATCATAGGATTTCATTGATTAGTAAAGAATAAACATGATCCTAAATAAGAGAGAGAGAGAGAGACAGAGAGAGAGAGACTTCAGGGAAAGTATTGGAATTATATTCTTATTCTTTAATCTGACTACATCTTTCATTTATTGGAGAAAGAAAACAAAAATCGATAAGAAATGGAGCGAAAATTGCACATCATCTACCTTCGAAAACGATAGAGATTAATCTTTTGCGAGCTCTACCGTCATAATTGGCCTGCACAAGAAACAAACCATCAGTTGCACAATACTAGGCTATTTAATGCTTACATTAACACAAAGCGTTTAACGCTGTATTTAGTTAGGAGATTTAAGGAAGGATTTGAAAATAAAAATGAAAATGGAAATGAAAAAGGTAAATAAAATGTGAATAAAACATATTTATATTTCACTTAGTTTCACACACATTTTTCCTTTTCCTTTTTTCTTTCCAAATCCCAACCAAACACGACATAAATATTCACACTCCACGAGGTTGGAAAAACTAGTACCAAAGAGGACTTTTGAAACAGCTTTCCTTAAAATAAAAATAAAAAGAAAAAAGAAAAGCCATTACAATCTAACAATTTTGACTAGTCCACAAGATTCCAATGTTGAAAGTCATTGTCTGTTACCATCAGCATCAATCTCAGGTGTTATTTGTTTCTAAGAAACCACTTCTTGCAAGTCACCTACTAAAAACATTTCTCTTGTTTATCATGAGAACATTGGTTTTCCATCAATTAAAAAAAAGGTTGCTCTCGCAAAGGAGACATCAGCCAGAAAACTTTCGTGTGCCTGCCCGTTACCATAATCCACAAGCTTACCACTGTCTGATTATGTCTTTGATTTTGGAAGAAATGATTTCTTATACTTTGGCCCTGTTTGGTAGGGACTTATTTCCAGCTTATTTCAACTTTTAGCTTAATTTAAGCTATTTTGATGTGTTTAGTTCAGCTTAACAATACAGCTTATAGCTTTTTGTAAGTCAAAATCAACTATTCTTTGAGTGGGGAAAGAGAAGCTTCATTTATAAGTAAAAAATCAGCTTATATTCACAGTTATAAACTATAAGCTGTTAGGTTATAAGTTATAATCACTTTCTTACAGCTCTACCAAACGGGGTGAAACAAAGCCTAAGGATGCTAAGCCACTCTTGACCATAATTATCAACATATGAGGAGTGATAGATACGAATACTAATTGAAATATACTATTAATGAGACTTACCAAACATAAAAAAGAATTACAGGAGCTCCACAACCAGGGCTGATGCACCTCCTCCTCCATTGCAAACACCGCCAACTCCATATTTGCCATTCTTCTGCTTCAGTACCTAAAACATTACACTTCAAATTAACGCAAAGCCACAGGGAAAACCCTTCATCCGAAGAATTAATAGTCACACAGCAAGAATAGCTATGCAGTATATATTTACATAACATAAAACAGTAATACAGTAGAAATATACCCCCAAAAGCGTGACCAAGATACGGGCACCACTGCAACCGAGAGGATGGCCCAAAGATACAGCTCCACCATGTACATTTACTTTTTCCTACAATCAACATTAAAAAGGCGATTAACAAAACAGGATATGGCCAACCCTCGTGCCCACGAAATTCTGAAGGCAAAGGGTAGTAATAACGAAAGAAGAGCTACACAAAACAAATTCTGAGCAAAAAGTTCAAACAAGATCATTGACCAAAGATTAATAGACTCACTGGATTAAGTCCCAGAAGTTTCATATTTGAAAGGGAGACAACCTGCACAGACCACATGATAAATAAGATTTTAATTAACTCATATTTGACAAATTAGTTGCTAGGTCCATATTATCAATTAGGCATGAAAGCTTACTGCAAAGGCTTCATTAATTTCATAATAATCAACTTGAGAAGCCTCCAAGCCAGCATTTGAAATAGCTTTTGGTATTGCAAGGGCTGGAGCAGTTGTAAATAGTTCTGGTGCCTGCATGGCATATCTCATATCAGCCCCAAGAACATAAAACCCAAAAGATAATAGAAATGAAAATGAGCAACAGAAGAACAATTATTTTTCTTTTTTATGTTCACAGAAGCCTCTAGCATTTATTTAGTCTGCTATATATTGGATAAGTACCTGGGCAGCATCAGCATATCCTGTGATCTTTCCAATCACATGCAACCCAAGCTTAAGTGCTGTCTCTCCACTCACTAAGACTAAAGCAGCAGCACCATCACTGTCAACGTAAAAAATTTTACTTTTAGTAAAGTGTTGCTGTTCAGTTTTTTATAAGACTTGCACAAGAAAATGAATACCACGGTACCACTTCAATGTAACTAAGAAACAGAGCAACTATATCCATCCCAAAAAAGTGCAACCAATTATATTATCAACTTTAACTATTAGTAGGAAAATCAGATAATAAATTGATGGAGAACAGCACCCTATAACTCCAAGTATGATCATGTACAAGAGTAAGGTTCTTCTAAAATCAATGAGATGCTTTGGAAGGAAATACAGTGAAATAAGTACTATAAGTGAAAAGAAGCCCGTTATACATTGTTCAATCAGGCAAATTGAAAATAAAAAATAAATAACGATTGGAAGGAAATACAGCGAAATAAGCACTATAAGTGAAAAGAAGCCCCTTATACGTTGTTTAATCAGGCAAATTGAAAATAAAAAATAATTAACGATCAAAATGTGGAAGAACAAGCAATAAACCTTATGCTAGAAGCATTGCCAGCAGTGACAGAACCTCCAGTCTCCTTGAAACTCGGTCGGAGCTTCCTCAACTTTCCAGCATCAAACTGGCAACACAGAAAAGCAACAATTGGTAACATTATCAACAACCAGGTATTGAGGCAAATAGAACTAACTGATTCCACATAAATTTTCTTTTTATTTATGTACTTATTTTACTGGGGAAGAGGGGAGGGGGCATTACTACATGTAGACATATTGATAAAATAATTCACCTTTCCAAGACCCTCATCCTTATCAACAATTGTTGACGGTTTTCCTCTTCCTCCAGAAACTTCAACCTGCACATCACCAAATTATGGTTTACATACTGATTTACAACAAAATTTCATTGGCTTCACTAGAAACTTAGAACTAGTTATCTGACCGGAACTATTTCCCATGCAAAGGCACCAGAATCTTGAGCTGCAATACCACGCTCAAAGCTCTGAACGGCATAATCATCCTGCACAAGTCATCCAGATATAAGTAATGCAACTTTTATGCAAGAAAAAAAACAAAATTCATGCAAGATGATTCTTGTGAGGGGGAATGAAAGAGAGTGATTAATTACAAATGGAGAATTTCATCATTATAAATTTGAGTTACTCGAAAATAGACCAAATGACCAAGAAATGTTACATCAACATCTCAATAGGTAGGTTTATAACCAACCTGCTCTTCTCTTGTTACTTTATGTTGTTCTGCACATAATTCAGCACAAACTCCCATTCCATAATCGTTATAAACATCCCACAATCCATCTTTCAACATACCATCAACAAGAGAATCATGTCCAAGTCGAGATCCCTTCCTGCAATTAAATAAAAATTTCAGCACAAATTGCAACATAGGAGGTTCTTCATTAATAGGACTAACTAGGATATTGAAGCAATAAAGACAATAATAGCAGATCAGGAAGTCCAATATTCCAATATCATCCTAAAGGAATCAATAAGAGAAGCAATACTTTGAAAACTATTTAAAAAGTATGGAGGTTGAGAATTTGATATGATTTCAAAGATGTTCAAATCAACAAGAATGAAAGTTTAGAATCTGCAGAAATACATAGTACATGAAAGTAAATAATAAATTAGATAACAGTAGACAGCAACATGTCATGTGGATTGTATTTTATATGCATGACCAGAGTCCATGATGTTTAAAACCAATATATCAGCCATTTGAAAACTTTATATACGTCCTAAAATAATGCTATGCTGTGGCAGATCAAAATATTGATGACAAAATAAAGAAAGTTTATGGGTGTTGTACAAGACTTAATGGAGCAGTAATGTCAGAAACATGTTCGATATGAATTCGATATAGGTATTGGTGGAACATCAGTGGCTCAATCTAACACAACTAAGAACCCAAATATCTAGAAAGATGTGATTATTTGTTTCCCAAATTTCTCTTGAGTTATCCATTTAAAAACGCAAAGAAAAAAATTAATTTATTCAACACACCAAACCCCAAAGAAAGCTTGCCACTCAACCAAAAAAAGTGCAGCATTACCAAATCAAGTTAATCTGTTTGATGTGCCTCTTATGCTCACAAGACATATATAAAATCATTTTTTATAAAAAGTCCATAGGTCCAATATGATTCAAGGTAGACAAAAGTCAGCTTTAATCTGTTTATATATAAATATATATATCATCTAACTGTCCTGTTGACAATCAGAATTGAAAGAGATTGACAATTTACAATTTACAATTCATTTCTTTACGTAAAATTTATATCTATAGGATGCATCCCATCATTTGCTTTGAAAAATGACAGAATCCTGCCCAATACAGAGTTCAACTTGAGTTAGATGAGAAGATATAAAGTAAATCTATTTTGAGCTAGAGGGGGACATAAACCTTGCTTCCGCTAGGTATTTAGGGACATTGGACATGCTTTCCATGCCGCCAGCTACAACAACATCATTGATGCCCAACTGGATACTCTGTGCTGCAAGCATAGTTGCTGCAATGACCCAAAAAATATCAATGTTATATCCAAAAAAAAAAAAAAAACAAACAAACAAACAAACAAAGAATAATGCACACAAATTGATTAGAGCAAACCAAAATAAATAAATAAATTGATTAGAGCTAATAATAATGAGTTTTTCAAATAATAAAACCAGAGCATCTACCTTTAGGCTTTACAGAATCTGCAGATGCTGTTGCTGATGCTGGAGCCATGATGATATATGTAAATGAATATCTGTTCCATTCAGATATGTCAATTTAGAAAACAACACGATTGATAACATATGTGATCAAGCTTAATGTGTGAGCCCAATAAAATAGCGACTCTGGTGCATAAAAAACGTTGCACAGCGAAAGCGTGACGAGCTTTGACTTCAAAACAAAGACACAGCTACGAGAGATCTTCTCACCTCACTTCACTGACCCTACTCGAGGTTCAAGTAAAAATTGAGAAAAGAAAACGACGCTTTCCAATCAATTTTCTCCCCTTGTCTCACAGATTTTTCCGAGAAACAAACAAAACACAATCATTTGAAGTTTTTTTTAAACCAAAAATAGAAATTTACTCTAGAAAAACGTATCTCAAGCAAATAGTTATATCTCGTCGAAATAAGAAATTAATACAATAATGAGGAAAGGAATATAGGCGTATGTATGTATGTGTGTATGTATATGTATGTATACATAAACATATATATATATATATATATATATAGAGAGAGAGAGAGAGATCTAACGTGACAAAGTAATTAGGAAATTATATTTTTATCTCATCCTTGATCGATAACAAAGATCGAAGCTAATATAGATCTTATAAAGCAAATAAGTTTCTTATGCGAGAAATTAGATCCGTGGAAATGCCGAGAAACAGCAAGAAAATTTAGAAAGATGTTGTTGATGCATGTGTTAGCTTGAAGAATGAAGACGAGAGAGTCTACCTGAGAAAGAGTTGAATCCACACAGCAATACAGAGAGAGATGGTCAGCAAGAAATCGAACTGAGGTGCGATATATAGAGAGGGGTAGCGCTAGACAATGGCCGAGCACGGGGAACACGCAGACATGTAAAATTACAGGTGTGCCCTCCTAGACCGCCTTTATTGACTCACTTGTCCACAATTAAACTCTTTTAATTAGCGTGAATTTTTTTGCGTTCCGTGATATTAAGATGATTTTATAAGATTTTGGCATATATTAAAAAAATTAAAAAGTTACTATATTATTTAAATCACGTAATCTTATTTAAGTCATATTACCTCTCCACCACATCACTTTAAACTCAATTCATATTTCATAAAAAGTCAAAAAATTCACTTATTTAGAACATCCAAACAACTCCTAAGATAAATGATATATAAGATATTTTTATAATAGTTAAGATTTCTTAATATTTTTATAAAAAAAATTTGATTTAGAAAAATTTTACTTAATTCAGAGAAATTTTAATTTTCACATATGAGTCGGATCTGAAATTTCTTTAAGTCCGACGAAATTTCTCTGAATCAAATTTTTCCTGTAAAAATATTAAAAAACCTTCACTAATAAAAAAGAAACATTTTAAGTTAAAGAAGATATTTTAATAATTTTCCCTTTAATTAAACTTCAAAGGTTATCATGAGAATAAATAAATAAAATTTTTAGCTACTGCCAAACCAAATGTAAATTATGCTACTGAATATTAGCCTTGATTAGTTTTGTTTGATTTTTTAAAAAAATTAAAAATTTTATTTTTGCTTATTTTTTTTTAATAAATAATGATTAACTCTATTAACCCATGAATATGATTAATCAAAAGAAAAATAAATAAAAATATAATAATGTAAATGAGAATTTCTAAATCCACTCTAAAAAACACTTAAACCTCCCCATGCAAATGGTTACATGAATGGTCAAATAAGAACAGAAAATGATATAGACCTTAAGTAATTTATCAATTTTTTTTTATCAAATCTCTTAGTATGGGATCTACATGAACTCACATATATGTAAGTCTTATAAAAAGTTTGATAAAAAATTTAATAAATTATTTGAAATTCCTATCCTCACTAAATAAAAACAGCAATAAGGGTATTCAAAATAACTACTGTAAACCATTAAAGAGGAGGAGCCATTATTAAATGCTCACATGGACAGTTTTGATAGTTTACAACAACCATGAGTGGTTGGTAAATTAGAGATTTTAGGCCAGGTTTGTTTTGCAGCTTGAGTAGTCAAATTGGATTATCATGGCTGTGTGTTTGGTAGTGAAATGGGGAAGTAAATTGATAATTCAAGAGGCTTAGTAATCTCTTTCAGTAGATGGATTAGTTTAGCTAAATTTTAGATTGAATTAGAAAAATAGTAAGGGGATTGAATCTATTTTATATAAAAAAAATTATTTTTTTAATTTTATTTATTTTTACCAAGTACACCTGTATGTTTTAATATTTATTTTAGTTTTTTTTAATATAAAAATAATTTATTTATTCATTTTATATAAAAAAAATTTAATAATCACATTACTAACTATTACCCATACTATCATCAAAATAAGCACACTTTTACTTAATCCATTCACTAACAATCCTCACATTAGCAGTCTCTTCATTAACCATCATCTCATTAACAATCTCATCCAACTTAATCCGCCAAACAAACGTGGCTTATAGTATGGGTCGATATTACTTTGACTTAACTATTTAGAAAGAAATTATTTAGAATTATCATTTTGTAATTTAGATTTATTTTACATATGAATTTCACACTACCCAAATCATCATTCGTGATAAATTCAAAATAGATAAGAGTGGGTTCATAGACTTTCTAATTTTCATATTCTTTATTTTAATGCACTTTTTATTTTTAAGAAGGTGTTTAGAAAGTGACTATTTAGTTACTTGTTTGATTTTTTTTATGAAAAAATGTGTACAAAAATAAAGAGCGGTGTGATTGGCTATTTTGATTTTTCTACTATTTTAACCCAGAAATTAACACTCCAAACAAAGCCTAAATTATGTTTTAAGATTTATATAGTTTAAATTTTTTAAATAATTTAATAGTTGAAAAACATTTAAAAAATTGAAAAGAGAGACACTATGATCAATTGTAAAATACGAAATTTAATTAGTTCAAAACTATAATATTTTCATCTAAAATTGTAAAAATTCTTTATTTTAAACTAATTAAAATTTATATTTTATTTACTCATTTTGATAATATACTAAGAAAATCAAACTCCAAGCCTCTTATGTGCCATGTGGTTGGTAAATTAAAGACTCTATGATTTGCAATATTGTCATTAAACTGCAACATAAATTATAAATTATATTAGGATTTGCGTCCCTCCTTTCCTTAAGGGGAAAATAAATTAATAAAAAAAAAAATAGTGATAAGATTTGCGTTATCCCAACCCTCGATTTTAGCGACAAATTTGCACTAATTGTTGTCTTTTATTGCTCATCTTGATTAGTTGTGCATAGTGGTGTAAATTTGGTTCGGTCTGGACTCGGTCCAGCCCATGTCGGGTCTCACGGGTTTTTGTTAAATTTTGGGCCGGGTCAGGCCACGGGTCAAAACATTAGACCCAGACCTAAGGGGAATTCGGGCCTTGGACGGGCGAGTGGGTCTGGGCCTGGGTTCAGACTTGAACGGGACTGAACATATTTTTTTGTTTTTTTTATTTTTTTCTATCAAAATTTTATTATTTTTTATTGACAAAAAAAAATTGGATTTCGGACGGGTCAGGCCTTAAGTGGGCCCATAGGCCAAGCCGAGCCGGACTTCAAAATTATGGGCCAGGCCCTTGGCCAGGGTCTCGGACTGGGCTTGGGCCTGGACCCAAACGGGCCTAAACCGGTCAAACTCACTTCGAACCACAAGCAGACTTCGAGTCGCCCACGGCCACAAGCAATTTTTACACTCATACTTGTGCAACATTTTTGCTTGTCCCACGTTATAGTGACTCAAATTTCCTCTTATTTATTTATTTTATTTTTATTTTTTTGAGCTTAGAAATTTTAAAAATAAAATTTTAGTGTGGCCAATGGCCATGGCCCTCTGCCCCCAACAAAATTTCATTGCGAGTTTAAACTATCCGAAGTACCATTCTGTTTAGTTTAGTTTAGTTTTTTATAATCTATTTTATAAAAATATTCAAAATTTAATTTGATAAATTAAAAAAATCATTTTTTAATATGATTTTTAAAATTTTAAATTATATATATATAAATATTTGTAGTGTTTATTTTTTATCAAACCAATTTCTAATTTTAAAAAAATTCAAAAAACTAATTATAAAAACTCAACCATATTACCATTTGTAAGAGGAGCTAATTTAAGCCCACTAAATTATTTAGGCCCAATAGCCCAAGATTAGTGGGCCCGAATTTATCTCAAGTCCAAGATTGGTGGGCTTGGATTTATCGCCGTTAAACGGGCTGAATGGCTCTAAGCCTCGAAAGGGTTCGGATCCACGAACCTAGAGACTTACTCGGGCCCGGACTCGAAAGGGTATTAAGCAAGCCTAGAGATCCGAGGCACTCGGACTCGAAAGGATTCGGATCCACGAATCTAGAGATCCGAAGTACTTGGCTTCGAACGGATTCAGACGCAATCTAGAAGTCGCTCCGTTAATGAGTCCCAGAACACTTGCGGGCTCGGAGCTTTCCGGGATCTACGCACCAGAACCATGGGCGTAATGGAGTCCGAACAAAGGACCCGATCCCGAAGACGGTGAGTGGAGATAAATTCACTCTTCGGTTAAACTAGCCTATACCCAATGAAAGTTTAGAATCTACAGAAATACATAGTACATGAAAGTAAATAATAAATTAGATAACAGTAGACAGCAACATGTCATGTGGATTGTATTTTATATGCATGCCCAAAGTCCATGATGTTTAAAACCAATATGTCAGCCATTTGAAAACTTTATATATGTCCTGAAATAATGCTATGCTGTGGCAGATCAAAATATTTATGACAAAATAAAGAAAGTTTATGGGTATTGTACAAGACTTAATGGAGCGGTAATGTCAGAAACATGTTCAATATGAATTCGATATAGGTATTGGTGGAACATCAGTGGCTCAATCTAACACAATTAAGAACCCAAATATCTAGAAAGATGTGATCATTTGTTTCCCAAATTTCCCTTGAGTTATCCATTTAAAAATGCAAAGAAAAAAATTAATTTATTCAACAAGCTAAACCCCAAAGAAAGCTTGCCACTCAACCAAAAAAAGTGCAGCACTGCCAAATCAAGTTAATCTGTTTGATGTGCCTCTTATCCTCACAAGACATATATAAAATCATTTTTTATAAAAAGTCCATTGGCCCAATATGATTCAACGTAGACAAAAGTCAGCTTTAATTTGTTTATATATAAATATATATATCATCTAACTGTCCTTTTGACAATCAGAATTGAAAGAGATTGACAATTTACAATTCATCTCTTTATGTAAAATTTATATCTATAGGACGCATCCCATCATTTGCTCTGAAAAATGAAAGAATCCTGCCCAATACAGAGTTCAACTTGAGTTTGATGAGAAAATATAAAGTAAATCTATTTTGAGCTAGAGGGGGACATAAACCTTGCTTCCGCTAGGTATTTAGGGACATTGGACATGCTTTCCATGCCACCAGCTACAACTACATCATTGATGCCCAACTGGATACTCTGTGCTGCAAGCATAGTTGCTGCAATGACCCAAAAAAAATACTGATATTACAGTCCAATATCGCTTTAGTAGAAAAGAAAATACTGGTTTCAAGATTGAGGTCACACCTTTCATCCCTGATGCACAAACTTTGTTAATGGTGGTACAAACCACTGAATTAGGTATTCCTGCACCTAATGCCGCTTGCCTAGCTGGAGCCTGCCCCAAATTGGCACTGAGGACATTCCCAAAGAAAACTTCTTGGACAAGTGACGGATCAACATGAGCCCTTTTAAGAGCACCTACACGTTGATATTTCAAGAACAGTTGAAATTACACAAAAAAACAAAAATAAAAATAGAAATTTCAAAGTAAACAGAGAATAAAATTGGGGATAGAAAAGAAGTTGTAATCTTACTGCCAATAGCTATAGATCCAAGCTTGGTGGCTGGTAAAGACGAAAGAGAACCAAGAAATCCACCCATTGGTGTACGTGCAACACCCACAATACAAACATCTGCAAATATAAACCAAGAAAGCTGAGCTAAACGGTAGAAAGGTTCTTCCAAATTCAAAACTCAAACAATCATGCATCTCTTAATTGTAAAATATGAGGTAATAAATGTATCACTCAAAAACAAGGAAGCTACTGATTTTCAGTTTTCGAATACTTCAGTAGCCAACTTAAAATTTATTAAGTGGATCTAACATGCTTACGAGTGGCATACCAAAACATTGAATCACAAGATCAAAGGCTGTGTAAAATGTTTTTAAAAGATTTAAATACACACTATATACAGATATTTGTGGATGCATGTACATAGGAACAAAACATATCGAACTCCACTATAGACTGATTTTAACATGCATCCAATGACTAACAAACAGTATTCCTCCGTCCTACAAGATCTCCTTTCAAAATAAGTTGCACTTCAAGCATAATTAGGGAAATTAATCAAATCAAAACTCATTATTAGTACTTCAAGCACAGTCAATTAGTGATGAACTATCAATATTATATCCAAAAAAATAAATAAATAAATAAAACAATGCACACAAATTGATTAGAGCAAGCCAAAATAAATAAATAAATTGATTACAGCTAATAATAATGAATTTTTCAAATAATAAAACCAGAGCATCTACCTCTAGGCTTTACAGAATCTGCAGATGCTGTTGCTGCTGCTGGAGCCATGATGATATATGTAAATGAATATCTGTTCCATTCAGACATATCGATTTAGAAAACAACACGATTGATAACATATGTGATCAAGCTTAATGTGTGAGCCCAATAAAATAGCGACTCTGGTGCCTAAAAAACGTTGCATAACGAAAGCATGATGAGCTTTGACTTCAAAACAAAGACACAGCTACGAGAGATCTTCTCACCTCACTTCACTGACCCTACTCAGGTTCAAGTAAAAATTGAGAAAAGAAAACGACGCTTTCCAATCAATTTTCTCCCCTTTTCTCACAGATTTTTCCGAGAAACAAACAAAACACAATCATTTGAAGTTTTTTTAAACCAAAAATAGAAATTTACGCTAGAAAAACGTATCTCAAGCAAATAGTTATATCTCGTCGAAATAAGAAATTAATACAATAATGAGGAAAGGAATATAGGCGTATGTATGTATGTATATGTACGTATACCTAAACACACACACACACACACATATATATATATAGAGAGAGAGAGAGAGAGAGAGGGAGCTAGATCTAACGTGACAAAGTAATTAGGAAATGATATTTTTATCTCATCCCTGATCGATAACAAAGATCGAAGCTAATATAGATCTTATAAAGCAAATAAGTTTCTTAGGCGAGAAATTAGATCGGTGGAAATGCCGAGAAACAGCAAGAAAATTTAGAAAGATGTTGTTGATGCATGTGTTTGCTTGAAGAATGAAGACGAGAGAGTCTACCTGAGAGAGAGTTGAATCCCCACAGCAGTACAGAGAGAGATGGTCAGCAAGGAATCGAACTGAGGTGCCATATATAGAGCGAGGTAGAGCTAGACAACGGCCGAGCACGGGGAACACGCAGACATGTAAAATTACAAGCGTGCCCTCTTAGACCGCCTTTTTTGACTCACTTGTCCATAGTTAAACTCCTAATTAGCGTGAATTTTTTTGCGTTGCCTGATATTAAAGATAATTTTATAAGATAAATGATATATAAGATATTTTTATAAAAATTAATATTTTTTAATATTTTTATAAAAAGAATTTGATTTAGAAAAATTTTATTCAACAGAGAAATTTTAATTTTCACATATGAGTAGGATTCGAAATTTCTTTGAGTCGTTTGAATTTTTTCTATTAAAATATTAAAAAAACTTCACTAATAAAAAAAAAAAACATTTTAAATCTCTCCTACTACACAAAGTTAGAAATGAATATTTCACTAATTTTTCTTAAAAATATATATATAATGGTTTCTCTTATAAAAGAAAATATTATAATAAGTTAATAATCACCCCGATTATCCTTTTCATTTCATTTCTAATCTCTCAATTTTAATGAGGTGTTATCTGGTGTTGTTTTCATTTATTTTCTAATTTCTCTATTTTGAAGGAGGCGTTATATGGTGTTATTCACGACGCAGACAGGTGATGCCCCATGTCACTTGTAATTAGTCGAAGAAGTAAGCCTATAATTTTGTGTTGAATGATAAGAAAGAAGTCTAAGACATAATGATCTTATTTGTTATAACTTAAATGAGTTAATTATAATTTATTTTAATTTAAAAGTATCTGTCAGATTGTTTAGTACAAGTTCTACTCACAACTTATTAAGTTATTTT